GTTTCTGCTGATATTCGTTTCATGACGTTAACGGAAAATTACTGTATTTCTTGCTGTTTTCTGGTACGCTTAAAGAGAACGATGCAGATGAACGAGTTCACCTGGAGAGCGCTATGGAGTTTATTTCGCAACTGCATCTCCAAGCCTTTATCATGCAGCATTACACTAGCCCGTTGTTATGACCGGTTACCCGTGCCGTTAGAGTGTGCTACAGTACACTGATGGTGAGAACAGATATATGGATTATGAACGAGTAACTGAGGAATGAACCAATGCGCGAACGAGCTCACAGTTAGGCAACCAATTAATGACCAATGAACTAATGAAACAACGACTTACGAGGAACTACCTGCTGGAAAAACAGGTGAACGAACATCGAAGTAGTGAGAGAACGGGTTGAAGGATAACGAAGAATTTGGAGAAAAGATGAATAGATGAGAAGAGGTGGGGAAATAGCCTGATGGATAAGCAATCACTGGAAAATGAATGCATAGGTAATGAACGGGTCGAAGGACGGCATCAACGAATGTGAACGGGCAAACAAACTGTCTGATTTTTTGTGAAACTGAGTGGACGAAAGAGTGAACTGAATCGAGCTTTTTCAATTTGGATCAATTTNTTGCTACTCAGGGGTCATGGAGAGAGATATGAAGTTACTTGCAAATTTCAATGAGTGAATCATTCCAGCAATTTACTTAGAGTCACGTTCAGTGAGTATTCAGATTATTTATTCATCATCTAGGCATAGATCTGTAATGCTGCTAATGATTCTGGAATACTAACGATGATATTATTATCATCGTTAGTATTCCAGAATCAATCGAATAAATACATTACAGCGCTGCGATTGCAAAACAATTCACAGAATTGATTATAAGATCATAAATATTTACGACGTTTGCACTTTGAGTAATGACGAGATGATGAAAACAAAAAAGTAATGAAATACACGATACCAATAACATCATCAAACATCATCGAGAACGCTTTCGCACGTACGACCAATGACATCACGATTAAGGCTGTGTTAGTTCAGTAGGAAAACAAATGGATACTGTGTAGTTTTATCTTTTATTAATCATTCCGTTCCTAAATGAGTTACGTTTGGGAACATATTTGCATTATTTTCACGCCATTTAAATCCTAATCTCTATTGCCACTAAAGCTATGAGCAATTGAATAACCAACTATTATATAGATATAAATATAGCTTAAACTCATCTCTACTTGTCAGATGCACTTTCCAAGTGAATTGTTCCAGTTAGTTCCGTATCTCAAATTATTTGATCCATTAGCAACATCAAAGCAAAACATAGAGGAGGATTTGAACGCGCAGAAAGAGATGGTGACCGGCAGCTCTCATCAAACGCTGTCTTGATGAAATGTTCGTGAATAATGACCATACGAGAACTTTGCCGTCGAGACGTAATTAAACTATGGGACAATTTTGCAGTGTCGACGTTTCCGAGATGTGATAGAAATAAAATGAGGCTCGTTGTTGAAAGAAGATTTCAAAGTTCTCCTTGAGAAGACAACATCTCATTTCGTAGAAGAGATTTAGAATGCGAAAAGAATGATTTCATAGAATTCATGCATGTTTAATTACCTCAAAAAGCGAGTTTTTTTTCCAAGCGAGTTCGATGCACAATGAAAGGTTGCTGCCTTCGCAGGATTCAAAATTGCGGAACTGGCAAAGTTTCGTTGAATCAAACCGCCTCATACTCATAATTATTCCTTCTGTCTCTCATTCACAGGTGTCACTCTAGTATCACCATTAATAAATAATTGGATTGCTACCGTAATATCCGTTGTTTACTGGTTTTTCGGCCAAGGCACTCTCATTCGTATGTAATCTTTCAAGTCTTTCGATTGTTTATGAATGCAATCTTTCAAGTCTTTCCATCGTCATGAAAGTTTTCTCGATCGCCCAACTGCTCCACGCCAAATTTTTTAGAGAGGAAACAAACAAGTGCGCATTTTACGCTCATCAGTCATGACCTGCGACGATTGCAACTGCTTCAAGTCATGAGTGAGTGGAACAGTGAATGTTGAAAGCGTTACGAATGGTATCTACCAGCTCTCTTCATGCAGTCTCAAAACTTATTGGATTATAATTAAGAGTGCGTCTGAAACGTCGCCTATATCGAACAAGCACTATAAATGAATTATTTTAATCTCGCAGTCCTCACCTAATTAGATGAATGCACAATATCATGCAACGAAGTGGCAAATGCGCAAATTGAATTCTCCCATATTGTGATAAAAATAATGAATTCTGAGCGAGTGGCTGACAGCACTGTGCTATTGCACTTATAATAGGATTTTCAGCTTCAGCACACTCACAAGAGTTATTAGAACGCTGAAGTGAATCTCATTCCTGGGAACAGCATCACTAGAATGAAATGAAGATTCGCCGAAGTAAANAAACAAAATGAGCATATAATGAGGTCAGAAACGAGGACTAGTGTGAAAAATCCGATGAGTTATTTCTGCGATATTTCTGCGTGTAATTCATTTCAGTTAGTAATGTGTCAATGGAAGAACTCAGAAAATACACTTCGAAATACGATTGCCATTCGACTGAAACAAAAGATAAAATCAGAATGGCGAAGAATGAGACCTCTACGGGCAACTTCCAAAATAAAGGAAATCCAGATTAATGTGGTAATCTTATTCTGAGTTCACTGATTATTCAGCGGTTAATTTCTTCTGATGAAAAGTTATAGATCCTCTAACCAGTTCAATGAAGTTCTAACAAACAGTCATTTTATGTACATTTGAAAGTCTGAAGTTTGAAAGATAACAAAGTTATAGCAAAATGAGATTCTGAATTCGCAGCGTAAGGCGTCATAGCAACGATCCATGATCACTTTTGAAAATGAAGAGAGGATGACGCTTGACTGATTTTAACGGAATCTTCAGTGAACGATGAATACTCGGAATTTCAGTGAAGATAACAAAATCATCTCATCCAGAAAAGCAGTTTATGGGGTCTGAGGTAGTCAGTGCGTATATTTCAATGAGTGTGACTGCGGTATCATGATGATATGATTGAAACTTATTGTGTTCTTAGCCCTCTCCAGTTATTCTCCACATTCAGTTTTAGCGTGGTGGAAATTTTTCGATAGCAGTGCAGCTGAAGCAAGCCCATTTGCTTCGCGGCAGAAACCGCAGCGTTTGTCTGTTATAATCTGGACCGTTTCATTAGGTTCGCATTTGTTATGAGCAGAACCGTCGAATGATCAATTCACAAATGTTCGGTCACTCAAATTCCACGCAGTTTTAGAACTTAAGGAAGACATTGCAACACAATGATAATCATGAACATATAACGTGATGACAACAACACATAATGATCATAACACATCTGATTTAACAGATAGTCACAACATTCGTTATGCTTTGAATTATGATATAGCAAAACTTCCATTCATCTTAAACATCATTTTGCTTGATGGCTACAAAGACGACTTGAATTCATAAAGATTGAAGGGGTCAGAATACATATTTGAAGAAAAATTCCATATGTGAAAAATGAAAACATCATGATCATTAGCAACATGTGAATATGTTGAGTCTTCAAGGAAATCGTTTAGTATTAGGAGGAAAGTTGAAACTGCGAAATACGTACTTGATGATTAAAAGCGTATGGCAAAATGACTGAAGTTGAGAAGTTAGTAACGGAAAGTATAGTAAAACAAAACGATGAAGTGTTGTGAATCACGCGAAATACATGAAGCGACGAGATTGTACATTCCAAGAAAACTTTTCATCGTACGAAATGGAATTTGCAAGATGCGGAATGTTAATTCATTAATGATTAATCAAAACAACTCCGGTCGCCTTTCAATGATCATAATATGAAATAGAGCATCATCGGTATGTTTGACAGCGACGTGTTTTTTGACGTTGAAGAATCATTCACCTGTCGGTACCATATTCAATTTCTAGCAACAGTACGCAAATTTCTATCACATGCGTTGAGAATTTTGGATATTGACAAGGAACACGCCTTTTCAAAGCGATTAAGTCTTTATTGTTATATAAGGTTGGTTTGGAACTGGGCTTGTCGCAGAAAAGTTCTTGCTGCAAATAGCTGGAAGCATTGGGCGAGTCACAGCAATGCTTGAACAGAGTCAAAGGTTAGGGGCTAATTATTTATGTGAAGACAGATTAGACGTGCTGAACCCTTTATTTAATTACTTATAATCTGATTTGAATGACGGTATGATCGAGCGTTGAATCACTGTCTTATTTATGTTAATTCTTGACCACCGTAATGTTAATTCTTGAACAGCAATTAATCAGCATGGCTCTATCAAAAACTTTTATAGTTAGAGGAGACTATAGAATCGCTGGAAGTGGGTTTTGTGATGTGAATGCTGCCGTTTTAATTACAGTTAGAGGGGAAAAAGTGGTCTAAGGGCAGTCATTTTCAGCACGTGTACAAACGACGAAACAAAAATTGCTGGAGTGAGATCGAACGGATCGAACATTGAGGATTATTCAGTTCCTCTNGCTGCCGTTTTAATTATAGTTAGAGGGGAAAAAGTGGTCTAAGAGCAGTCATTTTCAGCACGTGTACAAACGACGAAACAAAAATTGCTGGAGTGAGATCGAACGGATCGAACATTGAGGATTATTCAGTTCCTCTATCAAAAGAACTGAATAATCCTCAACCAACGCAATCATCAGTCTCACCATTGCAACATCAAACAATCACGCCAAAATATCGTCATATTCGGACTGCTACTCAACAGTCAGTTAATGGAAATTTCAACTTAAATTTTGAGGATACCACGAACAGGCAGATCAAAATCGTTTGCATTTGAATTTTCTGTCCACCTCAACCTGGAACATTTGATAAACACGGACAGCTAGCAGGATTTGTTTGTCAGTATCCAATTTTTTATCATTATTCAAGCTCGAGCATTCATTGGGAGACTTGAGCAAAGTGAGAACATTTTTCAAATGAGAGCTTCATCAAAACGTTACTTGGCATGGAATTCTGCTTGGCAGATTTCAGTTCACAACTGAATTTTGCTGGTCTGTGCATGTCATTTTTTGACATGCCAGGAGAGGACTGCTTGGACCTGAAATTTGCTCGCTATAACGATCAATATTGCAGTATTCTGCGCTTCGTTAACTTCAAGCATCGTAACGACGTGAGCAAAGCTATTGTCCGGTTACGAAACATTGCCGATCTGCCATTGAACTTCAAAATAAAACGTGACAAAGAATGCGATATATTGGTGAGTTTTACGATTACGTTTCGCAGCGATTAAATTCTCTACGCAAATTGATCCGCGTGTAGACTGATCTCTCAACTGATTAACAAAAGTTTCGACAACCACAATTACTGTTTGATCAACACTGACAATAATGATCTACTGAAGTGCAGTTATGACGTGATTCATTCAACTAAATTTTTTTCAATTTAAATTTTTCATTGAATCAGTGAAAATTATCTCACGATGAACATGCTCCAAAAAGCCTGAAATTATTGATGAGTTTCATGGGTCTATAAACGGAAAATAATGTTCATCGTTCATTTGAATTCTCAATCCCATATGGCTGGCAGCCGTATTGCAGTACCTCATATGTCACATTTCTACGTGTTCACATAGCATTCACCAAAAAAATTCGGTCGCATTTTTGGTTTAAAATCACCACGATTAATGATCATTACGAACTTCATGAGTCCATAAACGAGTCATGTCGCAATTATGTTAATCATTTCAATTCTCAGTGTCATCCGGCTGGCAACGGTATTGTGGCACCTCATTCGTCATGCCTCTGCGTGCTCACATGGCATTTACCAAAAAATGCCATCACATGGAGTAGTTTGAAACCACCACGATTAGCCATCGTTACAAATTTCTACAGCGGTCACGATTTCACAGCTGGTGACAAGTACACAACGAAATTTCTTGGTTCGCTCATTCAATATGTTCTCCTCAAGTCATCAGTGTTTTCCATAGTGACAGTAGCATTGATAGCATTCGTTAGTCACGAATAGCATTGCAAAGGCGTGAAATTCTCATTAAAAATCATATTAGTATCTAATTAATCTGCTACGTAAAAGAATGACGCCAACACGCATCACTTCGTAAAACGTAAATGAGACAATAGCGGTGAATTTCGTGACGACGCTGATTGAAAGCTGTTTTTTTTTTCTGACGACACTGCTGACATTCTGATGAATTACTGTTGCAATTAAAGCCACAGTGATGGATATTGAACAAGATATCCAAACGAAACCACCAACTACAAGAATAACATTCGTTCAAGATAAACTGCCATTAGTTGCACCTTACAACCCACCAAATAAGCAACAACAACAGTTTGAAACTGCCGAACCGTTTGCTGAACAGTTAGTTTTATGGTCGTTTTGAAGAACTTTTACTGAATTCCTTGTACTTTCGTCATAATTCGTTTCGAGGGAACAACATGAACTTATAACTGGAAGCCGTACCGGAGAAATCGTTTTGGTTGGTGGTTTGCGGGAAGTCGCTAAATTAACTCGAGCGGAATGACTTCTTCGAAAAAACAAATCTATTCAATCAGTTATATGTTCATATCGTCAGCTTTGATTGTCATTTTGCAACTTTAGCCTGAATTGTATGTGCAACACTAGAAAACCGTTTGCAGACTTGCTGAAGAACCGCAAACATACGGTGATGAATTACAGTATCATAACAGAGTCATCGATTGGATGCAATTACATCCCACCGAATTTCTGATCACAGTTTTCGTCGTTTGCATTTGTACCACATGCGTACTCATTGATTTTTTCGATACAAATGAAGATTCTTCATGAGATTTTTTGTTAAATTTTAATTCAAATCAAGAGCATTGATTTCTCTTTTCTTGTTTTTCAATAAAGTATTTATTGTCTTCGGCATTCAGTTCATATGGTATTTCGAGGGATCTGAGATGAATTCAGATTCCGTGTGAGTAACGCACCTATCAGTTCATCGTGATCAAACGAACTCCTGCAGGATAGAATAGATTTACTGAAAGGCAAAGATTTATGAACAGTTACATGAATTATTGATAAAATGGCGGATATTATCAAAACACGCGTGAAATAATCAATCGATGTTGCATGATAATTGCATTGGACTGAAGCAAAGTATGTTGACATTATTTATTTATAAGCGGTAAGTAAAGATAGGTGACAAAAATTCGAAGGAAACATGCACTTGAATGATATGAAAGATAATGAGTGGAATGTTCAGTGGTAGGCTTCAATAACATAGCATTGAT